GGAAACATTTAGACACGAATATCATTGTCAAAAAATATAAAAAACATATTTTCGATTGGCCAATAGGAATCTTTCTGGGACTTCGATTAGAAGTTTCCGAGGTTGTTCAATAATCCCTTTTATATTCTTATTCTTTCACCAAAATAATAAATAAATAATCAAATAAATAATAATAACTATGATCATTGATATATAATAATAAACAATACTACAATAATTACACCATTTACACACATTCACACATTTCTTAATTAATCAACCACTCAAAAGTTTAAAAGTTATTTTTATAGTTTTATTTTTTTCCCCTAAAAACAAAATTGGCGTATTTATTTCTTTTTTCTTCTTCTTTATTGCCAAATAAAGACGTTTCTTATTAGCAACGGTGTATATTGGTATGTATGTGCGTTTATGTATTTATATGCGGTTTTTCTTTTTTTTCTTTTAAATACATTTAATTAAGGAAAAAGTAAAATAAAGCCGAATTAATTTTATTTATATTGTTTTGTCGAATGTTTCATGTGATTTATACCTTAATTCTGACGTTTATATACACACGCGGTTACACACTAATTGGTAATTTTCAGGGTAAAACATATAAATATATAAAAAATTTTTTTTTTTTAAAAACAAAACTTTTTTTTTTTAAAAAAAACAAAAGGTTTTTTATGTATATAAATCTTTTTTTTTTTAAATAAATATTCTCTGCTAAAAAAAATATATATATATATTTTAACGTGAAATGTTAAAGTCTATTAATTTACATGAAATGGTTAGAGAAATAGGAAATTGTAATGAAATAAGTATTATTAAACCATATCAACAACAACATCAACAAAATAATGTAATAATAAATTTACCAGATATATCAAAAAAACTTGATTTGCAAAATTTACAACGACAAAAAACAATGACAACAACGACACTAACTTCTCCAGTATCTTCCTCTTTTACAACAACCTCTTCCTCTTTATCATCAACTACTACCGCAACGCCACCGTCTTCTTATGATGAACCTTTTAATATTAAAAATTATATTATTAATAAATTAGTGCCACCACCATCACCACCACAGGAAATCGAAGACGATGACGACGATCAACAAAATTTTAATAATAATGATTATCATGATAGTAACTTCTTTTCAAATATGGTATCTAAAAAGTTAGAAATCGTCGAAGAAGAAGAAGAGGAGGAGGAGGAGGAGGAGCAGGAGGAGGA